TTTGAGTTATGTTAGTATTAATTTCAGCCCCGATTTCTGTTGATTTTTTCGGGAAGCCGCTTTACTACCAATGATTTTTGTAGTTTTGAGTAATTTATTTTTAGCATTAAATCTTGGACCCTCTATCTACTTACTTCTAATTAATAAGTTAAACCAGCGGGAACTACGGAATTTTGGTCAAACATGAATGGCGGCAGGCTTGTGGTATGTTTATGCCAGATTCTTTAGTTTCGCAATTTATTTTCTATTTATTCGGGTCATTTGTAAAATATTTCTGCCCTCGCTAAAATGTTGTTCTTTTTTGTAAATTGAATGTTTCCTTTTTATGTCAGTCCCGGAGGAATTCCTTTGGGCACAAATGATGGCTGGCTTCCTTTCTAAATATTTGTTTGAATTGACATATATGAGTCATGTTGCATCTTCTCTAACTTGTAACCTTACTTCGTAGTTTCACATATGCGTTGTTGGTTGATGTGGTGCGTTCAAAGGTATCGGCTCCTGCCGACCTGCAAACTTACATGCGTCATTTTCATTGTACTCATAGATGTCCTGTCTTAATTTCATTAGAACCTCTATCGAGCTATCCTATTCCTTCATCACTCGGTTGCTGTTCTTTGTCTCAATCAGCGACAGAAGTCCAGCTCCTGTAGAAAGGATTTAACCCGACAAGTTTCGAAATGGACGTCATTTAAGTCTAGTTTACGTTTTCTTGAAGCGTACCATTTCGAATAATTGTTATGACTCTTAAGCGCATTAAACGCTCACAAATGTCTTAAAATCGGGGTATACATTTTATGCTATCTTATCTAAACTTTTCAAGCTTGCGCTACGTACTTTACCCCGCTGTCTCATGTATTCACCCTCTCTCATATGTGTACCCACCTCCCGCCACCAAGCAAATAGAACAGGTGCAAGGTCCGCTTGCTCTTTTTTAAGTCGTGTGAACAAATGTTTAAAAAACGCTTGTCGGAATACTGAGGCCCACTTCCTTTTATTTTCCAATCAAAACTACTATTTATTCAATTTCCACATATATGGAAGATAAATATTCGATGCGGCAGTATCCGTTCTCCGTTCCCGAAATTCCTGTTTCTGTACTTAAAGTAGTATTTTGGAATTCGAGTGCTCTGTTGCTGCAGTCAGAACAACCCCAGCACATTTAAGGTCTCTCGTCCTTGTCTCTTGCCATCAAAGCTTTTTTTATCCTTTTATTAAAGCATTCGGTTTTCCAGCACACATTTACTACTCTCCTGTAC